TATTGCTTCTCATCGCGCTCTCATCGTATAAGCTTGTTGAAAGCAAAGCCATCATCGGTGGATATCACTAGAAGTTACCAAATAGGTATGTCTTTAAACGTTTTCTAAACTCAGCTAATGATTACCTAGATATACGTAATTCGATTGGTAAGCTTTTTCAAAACAATAAGGCAATCTTATTTAAACCATAACAATTCTTTAGTCTGTCTAACAGGATTTTAAGATTCACAGTATCAAACGCCGAACTCATGTCCAGGAATGTCAACAAAGTTACTTTTTTGTAAACTAACTACTGAATAAATATGAAAAAATATATCCGATAGAACGTTTCATTCGGCCGAATGAAACTTTCTATATCCAGATTGATGCAAAGGCCAAATACTATTTTTATTTATATGATTATTCAAAACTAGCTCAACAGAACGTTCTATAATGTTAAAAACGAAAGACTAATTAGACACCGGCCTATAGTTTATCAGATCTAATTTATCTAAACCTGTCTTCTTTGATATTGGCGTGACAATTACATATATATATATATATATATATATATATATATATATATATATATATATGTGTGTGTGTGTGTGTGTGTGTGTGTGTGTGTGTTTGTGTGTGTGTGTGTGTGTGTGTGTTTGGGTGAACATATGTGCAATAACAAATGTATGCGCTGCATAAAAGCTGCTGTATTTAAATAAAAAGAAGATTGCACTTGATTTACAAAGTAGCTGAAATAATATTTCGATTCAGAAACTAAGATCAATGGATGCAAATGAATTAAATGATAAAGGTAAAAAGATGATTGATTTCGTCTCATCGTACTGGCAGACCATCCGATCTAGACGTGCACTTTCTGTCGTGGAGCCCGGCTACTTGGATACATTGCTACCCAATGAGGCTCCGTTAAAGGCTGAATTATGGGAGGATGTTTTAAGGGATGTCGAACAGTTAATCATGCCAGGGGTCAGTTTCAAGTTTTTAACTTTTATTAGAACGGTTTTTCCTTCTTACCTCATATGTTTAATTTTTTTCTTCTTTAGTCTAATGAAATAAATGGTGATTTCCAATAGAATTAATTTACCTTAATTTATTTTGCTTATAATGAAACTTAATCTTCTAACTTGTTAATCACAAATGAATACATGTATATATGTTTATAGTTTTACTTTGTGTACTGTATTTTTTCACGTAGGCTATATTTTCTTATAATGTAATTTATCACGCTATATTTGCAAGTTTCATAATAACATGTGTAACATCATTTATCAAGCGTTTGCATGCAATATAATTTGAATTATCTCGTCACTTCATAAATTATATACTTTTTAAATAAGCAGCAATTCTTCAATGAGTTTGCTGTACAAATTTTTATCTTCTTTCGTTACTTCAAATTATTGCAATAAATTAATTTGATGCCATTTATAAATTTTTGCTTTACCATACTTTTTATAAGCCGAGCATCACCAATTTAAAAACAAATCATTTTCATATCAAATTAATTGTTAACATATTTTTCGTATGAAATAGTTTAACATCGAATACATTAAATACCTAAGGAGTTTTAAATAAATATTTTGTTTAAGTTGTAATATTTTACAATTTTTGTTGCTTTTTGAGAGAAGATTGGCTAGCGAATTAGAAGGAAATAGGAGGAAATAGAAACACCAGTTGCCTTTAGTTTCTATCAACGATTCCTCAACACTTTCATATTTTTATCATACATTTATTATAATATGTGGCTGGTAGAGTCGTATCACTCCTGTTTCTCTTAATAACTGGAGACAACATGATGTTTTTAAATTTTTATTTATTTATTTCAACAATTTCTTGTAAGGACAATAATTCTATTACATTTTAAACAACAAGAAAGTGACCGTAGGGTTTGCATTGTATAGCCGAAATATTTCCAATCACAATGTCAACAAAGTATAATCATGTGAAATGTTTTAAATCTTATTGTTGATTGTTGGCATAATTCAACCAAAAACTTTTATTGTTACGAATAGAAAAGAATTTCAAAGTATAGAAAATTTTATCGCTTGTTTCAGATTATCAAAACCTTAACCCAAAATGTATTCATCGTATTGCAGACTGTTATCGTACGGGTTATTTACGTGTATTAAGTATATTATATAAATTAATCGTACGGCTTATATATGTGTATTAAGTTTATTATATAAATTAATCAGTTCTGGCTTCGTTTAACTATCGTACACAGTGGGGTTTAAAGTACACAATTTGAAAACCACGTTGTGTCAATAAGAATAACAAAAACTTACATTGATATAAAGATATGATCATAATTCATCAAATTGAATAATCATGCAATTTATTTGTATTTAAAGACGTAAAGATATTATTGATCAAACCAATTTTTAGTTTTACTAGATTAATTTTTTCATTTTAGTGCTAAGCTTTTAGAATAATTTAAAATATATAAAATATGTGTTAAAGTGTGATTAATATATATATATATATATATATATATATATATATATATATATATATATATATATATATATATTAATGAAACATTTATAAGCGCTAATTAAAATCAAAAAGTTCTCAAAAGCGCTATCTATAATCGAACAAAGTCAAAAAAGAAAAATGTACAGTCAATGGCGGTAGTAACAAACAAATAATTATTCACTTAACAACAAAATCAAAGCGAAAATAAGTAAGTTTTAAGTTTCTTTTTAAAATCATCAAGTTTCAAATCTTTAGTTCTATAAGATCTCGGTAAGCAGATCCAAACCATTGGTCCAGATACTGCAAAATCTCTTGATGCTATCTGCAGATTGACATCAGGTACAACCAGCAAAATGCCATCATCTGATCTAAGGTTCATACCACCCATCATTGTAGACTTTTCTTTTATTTTATCTATCAAATAACTTGGTAACAAGCCATGCACAGTTTTTTACATTAAAATATTTTATATTTAATTCTTTTCTTTATAGTAAGCCAATGAAGGCCCTTAAGAATTGGCGTAACATGGTTAAATTGGAGACCTCCAACAATCAATTTGGCTGCTCTATTCTGAATAGATTGAATTGCAGAAATAGACCTATCTGGCAAACCGTAAAACAGACCATTGCAATAGTCCAATCGTGAATGAACCAATGCATGCACCAAAGTATGAATAGCAGATTTATCTAATGATTTACGGACTTTATAGAGTTCTCGAATCTGTCCGGAGCATAAATTTGTTATCATCTTTATTTGATCATGCATCGATAATCTAGAATCAAGAATGAAACCCAGATTAGTTGCTTTGTCACTAAATTCTATTTTAACATCTTCTATTTTCACTGAATCGATATTAAGTTGTATCAGCTGCTGTCATGTACTTATTGGAACAAATTTTGACTTCTGCTGATTTAATCTAAGACCATTGTTTGACATTTTTATGCTAACAACGTCAAGTTTTATTTTTCTGTTACTATCATTTATTTCATTTAGTTGAGCAAAAAATTCATTTTTAGACGCATCCATTGACTTAGCCAAAGAACTAACATCTTGAGACAAATCAACACAACGTTGACAAAACCATTTTAAACCTTTAAGAATATATATATATATATATATATATTGTTGAAATATTTATGAAGCGCTAATTAAACGAATCTCAAAAGCGCTATCTAACAAAAACTGAACTTAGCAATATAATTGAGAAAAAAAACGAGAAATCATAATGCATCGTACAAAAATAAGATTAAAATTTGGTCATAAACAGAAAAAGTAATCGATTCAATATAACGAAAATACGAAATAATATTTAGAACATGTCGACTAAACAGAAAGAATTGATCAATAATGCATTACAATGAAAATAAATGAGTTTTCAGTTTCTTCTTGAAATCACTCAGGTTTAGGTCCGGATTTCTGAGAGCAGCAGGCAGGTTGTTCCAAACAGTTGGTCCAGAAACAGCAATATTACGAGAGTCTATACGGAGACTCGTTGTTGGGACCAACAGCAAGTTTGTAACATCAGATCTCAGACGTGCTCCAGATGCTTTTGAAGATCTCTTTTTGAACCTGTCAGACAAATAAGATGCAGCTAGACCGTTGATAGACTTGTAGACAAGTGTTGCCATTTTGAACAACACTCTTTTGTCGACGGTTAGCCAATGAAGTTCCTTCAATATTGGAGACACATGGTCGTATTTTAGAGCTCCAACAACAACTTTTGCGGCTTTTATATTATATATAAATATATATATATATATATAAATTAAAACAACTCAGCAGCCCACAACATAATAATCCAAACAGGGACATCATCTTTTATTATAGGAATCATATGAACACCAACTACAAAACGGACGAATCCGTCTGAAAACAAACCATTTATAAAAATGTCAAACCAACTGACCCTTCTGACAAAATAAAACTACGAATTTATTATAGAAATGCAAAAACATCAAACCTTGTCATGAACAACAACTGCACTCCTCAGCAAGGTTCGGCTTTAAAACGATAAATGGATTCACATGTCCCCTGACGGCTGTGCACGTCAGAATTTTTCATACATCAGAGTTACTACAACATCGCTAACTAGACTTCTGACCATGCACAAAAATAGAAACACACTTAGAGCACACACACAATATTAAAATTACAAGAGAAATTCTGGACAACAACACCAAAATAATATACTGTAATTTCAGCCATTCCCATCTGAAATTAACCGGAACCGACATAAAACAACCCTTGATAAACAAACAACAAAAGATTTCAACAATACTCTTAACAAGAAGGACAATAATAAAATATACTAACAACAATAAGGGTACCGATGAAGACACTGAAGAAAGCAACATCGACTAAAGTGCTATCAAAGCAATAATACACAACACCGAAGAAATAAAACATCACACTAAAGTAACTAGCCCAAATAAAGAAATCATATCAATTAATAAAGAAGATAGTAAAATTAGCAAAGTCAATAATAACGATAAATGCAAATCACAGGGAAAGGCCTGGGTTATACAAATTATCTTTATAAACTGCAATAAGTGCTGAAGATGATTGAAAATCAAAAGAGGTTCATTATACTCGAGAATGAATTAGAAAACTGTACATTATTCAAACGTTAATAAAATAAATTATGTCGACAAGAATTTGGTTCAAAATATTGAGAAATGTAATAAAAAAACTATCCAACGCTAGAAATTCGGTAGATTTCAAAAATTACTGCATTAATTGTGCTCTTTTACCGGCATATATATATATATATGGCTACTTATATGGAAATATATATATATATATATATATATATATATATATATATATATATATATATATATATATATATATATATATTATAATTGCAATTGCCTATTCTCTAGACTTTCACAAAGAGTTATTCATATGTTGCAGTCCATTCAGAATAGAGCTGCTAAACTTGTTTCTGGACGTTCTAGGTCTGATCATGTCAACCCCATTTTGAGAGACTTACATTGGCTGACTGTTAAAAAACGTATTACTTTTAAAATTGCAATGGTTATGTTCAAATGCTTGAATGGTATTGCACCTGGCTATCTAATTGCCCCAACAAATCTTGTTACAGGTTCAAAAAATTTTTCAGTTGTTGGGCCATCTGTAGGGGGAAATAGCCTGCCTATGGAACTGCGTGCTTCGGGGCATTCAATTTTATCCTTCAGGAGGGGACTAAAAACGTTTCTGTTTACGCAATAAGCGCTTTGGTTGTTGTTTCCTTGTGATTTGTTTCAGCGCCTTTGAGATTTGATGAAAGGGCGCTATATAAATCTACCTAATATATATATATATATATATATATATATATATATATATATATATATATATATATATATATATATATATATATATATATGTAGATAAAAAAACTTATTTCCCGAATTCATGCTGCAAATAAGGCCATATTTCGATTCCGAATGAATCATCAGTTTATTTTGAATTTTAATAAACTAAACGTTCTT